ATGCTGACGTTTTTCCTATTGCTTCTGCACTGAGGTATATGTAATTGGAAGGGGTATGTGTGGGGCGGGGGTGGGGTGGTGAGCATAGGGGAGAAGGTTGGTACTAAAGAAAATCAAAAGAAAATAAAGTGAGGCTTTAAAATTAAAAAGGGGGGGGCGGCTGGAGTAATAGCATAGTGGGTGGGGCACTTGCCTTGTATTCCAGCCAAGCTGGGTTCACTCCCTGGCATCCCTGATGGTGCCCACCAGGAGTGATTCCTGAGTGAAGAGCCAGGGTGTGGCTAAAGAAAAATAAATTAATTAAAAGAGTGGGGCTGGAGAGCGAGTACTTGCCTTGCCTAAGACTGACACAGTCGATCCCTGGCACCACATATGGGCCCTGGGCCCTGGTACGAGCAATCCTTGAATGCAGAGGAGGAAGAAAAGCCTGAGAACAGCTGGGGGTGCCCCCCCCATACCACTTTTTTTTTGAGCCACACCCAGCAGTGCTCAGGGCTTACTCCTAGCAGGGACTCGGGGACCATATGAGATGTTGGGTAAAGAGCGTGGGCCAGCCAATGCAAGGCCAGTACCCTGCCTTACACTACGCCATCACTCCAGCTTCCCCGCGACCCCCCACATTTTTTTAAAAAAGAGGAAAACACTGACGAAGAACTGGATATGTTGGACTGGCCCAGAGTATGGCCTACTATGCATGGCTGGATGGGAGCCAGGCTGGCACGGGGAGGCCGCCACCAGCAGGGCACTGCAGAAGGGGGCCAGGCTGGCACAGAGAGCCACCACCAGGGCACTGCTGAGCAGGACTGGAGGGGCTATGCAGAAGCAGAGTCCACGGCAGTCCACCACGGAGCAACGTGAGATGCCATGGACCAGAGACTAGTGAGTCCAGGGCCCGTGAGGTGGTCAGGGCAGCAGGTCTGTGCACCAAGGCTACTGTACTAACCACCCGAGCCTTCTCAGGAGCAGATGACGACAGTACAAAGGGCTCACAGAAGGCTCCAAACAGGCAGTTAAAAGAAAAATATCCAGTAAAATATTCTAAGCATGGGAAGGGAAAAGAAGGAGACATTTCTATGGAAAACACAGGTCTGGGAGCCCAGGGTCAGGAGGACAGTCTGGGGGGAGGAGTGGGGAGGGGAGAGAAAGAGTCGGCAACTCGGCTTGCCCAGAGAAAGGCCCCCTCATGGCAGAGGGAGGAGCAGCAGAGACAAAGGCAGGAGTAAAGCAGCAGGGTCTTGAGGCCTGGAACCCCAATTTCCAAAACTCACACTTAAGTCCTTACCAAGGAAAATCAAGGATGGTAGATAGGAGAAAGGAGGGAATTTCAATAAAAGAGCCTGGTACTGGGCAGGAGAGAGGGGAGGAGGCACTTGCCCTGGAAGCAGTGGGCTCTGGTCTGACCCTGGCAAGGTGGCACCCCCAAGACTGACTCCTGGGCATGGACAGGAGTAAGCCTTGGGGGCCACCAGGTAGCATCCCAACAAAAGGATGTGGTACTGGAGAAGACTTCTTAAAAAAAAATCTAGAAATTATTATTGTCTGGGCTGGAGCGAAAGCACAACAGTAGGGCGTTTGCCTTGCACGCAGCCAACATGGCCGACCTGAGTTCGATTCCTCCGCCCCTCTCGGAGAGCCCGGCAAGCTACCGAGAGTATCTCACCTGCACGGCAGAGCCTGGCAAGCTCCCCGTGACGTATTCGATATGCCAAACACAGTAACAACAAAGTCTCCAATGGAGACGTTACTGGGCCCGCTCGAGCAAATCGATAATCAACGGGAGGGCGTAATTCTAATTCTAATTATCATTGTATCACTGTCCTCCCGTTGTTCATTGATTTGCTCGCACGGGACCAGTAACGTCTCCATTTTGAGACTTCTTGTTACTGTGTTTGGCATATTGAATATGTCATGGGGAGCTTGCCAGGCTTTGCCATGCAGCCGAGATATTCTCGGTAGCTTGCCAGGCTCTCCAAGAGGGGCGGAGGAATCGAACCCGGCTCGGCCAGGCTGGCTGTGCGCAAGACAAATGCCCTACCGCTGTGCTATGGCTCCAGCCCAGAAATTATTATAGAGAATAAAATTAAGACCTGGACTCTGGAGCCAAACTTCCTGACTAAATTTGAATCCTGGCACTTCTTTTTATTCTTTTTCTTTTCTTTAAATCATTTATTTATTTATTTTTTTATTTATTTTTTAAATTGGATCACTGAGATGCAGTTACAAAGCTTTCATGATTGAGTTTCCGTCATATAATGATCGAATACCCATCCCTCCACAAGTGCACATTTTCCACCACCAATGTCCCCAGTATCCCTCCCACCACCCCCCAACCCACCCCTCCCCCTACCTGTATGGCAGATAGTTTGCCCCCATAGTCTCTCTCTATTTTTGGACATTATGGTTTGCAATAGATACTGAGAGGCCATCACATGTGGTCCTTTATCTACTTTCAGCACACATCTCCTATCCGGAGCGATCCCTCCAACCATCATTGACCTAGTGATCCCTTCTCTATCCCAGCTGAAATCCTGGCACTTCTGATGGCTCGTTGGACATTTGGGTTAACCCCCATGTCATTGTATTCCTCCCCATGATGGGAGAGATGATCCCTCAAGGTGCTGCATGGACTAAGAAAAAACTAGGCTAGTTCCTCCACAGAAAGCATGCAGCCTGGGCACAGTATAGGAGCCGCTCTTGCAATGTCACTGCTACTCTTCCTCCTGGCCTTGACAAAGACAGAGACTCCCACCCTCACTTCTCCACCCCACTGCTTTTCCACAGGCACACCCACTGTTTGACTTCTGCAAGCCAGGCTGAGGCTGAAGAGATAGTACAGGAGTCAAGGCACTTGCCTTGGAAGCGGCTGACTGGTTTGATCCCCAGCACCACATATGATCCTCTAATCACCGCCAGGAATCCTGCTTGAGTTCAGACCAGCAGTAACCCCACACTGCAGGCTGAAGCCCTCAAACAGAAACAACATAGCATGCAAGAGAGCCTGGCGGATGCTCAGATCCCTGGCTTCTCAAAACTGAGGAGGCCGGGACTCCCGCCCAGGATGCGAGAACAAGTGGATAACAGTTTCCAAGCAATCAATACAGGCTCCAGCACAAGGGCAGCTGCTGGTATTTTTCTGTTTCCTTTGCCCCAAATAAAGATACCAGTTACAACCAGAGAGCACAGTGGGGAGAAAGGGGGCAATTGCTGCTCTTAACACAGACCCTCAGGGTTAGAGGGAACAAGAGCAGGTGCCATTATGACCACCATGGTCTCCCCATGAGGGCCAGTTAGCAGGGCCCTCAGCACTTTTCACACAAGGGTTCATTCCAAATCGGCCCTCTGAGTAAGCCCCATTAACCCAGGATCCACTTAGCAGGACGGCCTTTCCCCCATACAGCTCGTCGCCTGTGTTTCAGCTCTAATTGGCCAACGGACCATCCCATCATTCATAAGACTCAGTCCTATAAACTCAAGGACAGAGGGGACTCTGCTAGGGGTCGAGCACTCAGGCTGAGCCCAGACAGGACAAAGCTGCAGCCTCACTTGGCCACAAACCACAGTACTACCATTTGGAGTGGTGGGGCACACGCTTGGGCAGGGACATCAGCCCTGCAAGGCCGCCCGGCCAGTTGGCAGAGCTGTGGGTCGGAACAGTTTGGGAAGGCTCTGCAGGGCCCTTCCGTTTAACTCCCCCTCTGCTCGCAGGGCCCAAAGGAAGGATGCAGGCCTCTGCGTGGGCTCGCCCGCCCAACAGGAAGGAGGCAAGCCTCTGCGTGGGCTTTCCCACCCCCAACAGGAAGGTGGAAGGAGGCAGGCCTCTGTGTGGGCTTGCCCACCCCCAACCTACAGGGACAGGAACAACCCACCAGACCATCAGAGCAACTTGTTAATCCCCTCCCTGGGTTAGAGGAGAGGCAGGGTGTTTGCAGAAAGCAAAGCGCTGCATGCCGACTAGGATGCTTCTGATCAGCCAGAACTGCATCGTTCTCCTGAGGCGAGGGCCACACAAACCCAGCACAGGGCAGGGAAGGAGCCAGGGTCCAAATGGGGGCCACCACTCACCAGCTGCATGGCTCTGGTGTACTTCCCCCATCTCTCTAGAGGTGGCTGTGAAAATCCAGCTAGCAAGCCTAAGTCTCCAACACACAGAGATCAGGCTAAAAATGAGGGCCAGGAAATGCTAGTCACTGCCCCTCCCCAAAGAGCAGACAAATGCTCTTTGGCTCTCTACCAGGGTTCGAGATCATTAGAGAGGAGGGAGCTGGGAAGGAAAGGGCTGCAGCTCGCAGGGAATGCTGGAGAAGAAGGGTAGGAAAGGTATTTCAGGCAGCAAGGTGGAGTCCTGCAGGCAGTCAAGCCTGGTTTGATCCCCTGCACCCCACAAGGTTCCCTGAGCCCCATTAGGTGGGATCTCTGAGTGCAAAACCAGGGTTAAGTCCTCAGCATACTTAAGTCCCTTCATTCCCTCTCCTCAAAAGCAAGGAATTTAAAGGGCTGTGACTGCTGAAAATCACGAGCCAACCCTGGTGGGGTTTCAGCTTAGAAGGAAAAAGAAACTTTGGGGCAGGGATGTACCTGGCAGATGGGCAGAGGCAGGGAAGTGGCACCTCACTCATGCATGGGGACAGGGCTGGGGTCAGACTCATAATCTCAGAGTGTCCAGGGTCGGGCCACTTGCCTTGCGTTGGCCAACCGTGGTTCGATTCCTCACATACCATATGGTCCCCTGAGCCCCTCCAGGAGTGACGCCTGAGCACAGCATGGGAGTAGGCCCTAAGCACTCTTGGGTGTGGCCCCCAAACCAAAAAATAATCTTAAAAAAATTAAACTTGCAACCTTGTGGCATCCAAGTTTATGAGGAGGCACTCTGCCTGAGCCAACCCGGGCCCCATGATGGCTTTATTTGTGTTTTTTGCTAGGTTGTGATGGCCACACTCCACTGGGCTATGACCCTCTGCCCCGCACACCTCGCCCCTTCCCTCTGGGCAGCTGGTGCTCACCTGGCTGCAGCACCCTGATCTCCAGCAGGTTGGAGGCGCGCTCGGCCAGCCGCGTCCAGGTGTGGTTGTAGTTCCTGCGCCACAGCTCCGCCACGCACTGGTACTTGCCCGCCTCAGTGTCACTGGCTCGGCTGATGCTCAGACGCACGTTGTTGCTGGACTCGGCCTTCTCAATGGCCGTCCGTGTCCGGAAGCTGGAAGAGCGATCCCCCCACTGCACGCCTCCGTCCCGTGTGAAGGTCACCAGGTCGTGGAATTCGAGGGTGCCCACCGGCTGGAAGCGCCACGTCACCGACACGGGCACCCGGATGGGATAGTGGGGTTTGAGGATGCACTGCAAGTCGAAGGAGTCACTGTAGGTGACCCCCGGCGTCCGGGAGATGGCCGTGACTGCAAAGCCCGTCTCTGGGGCGAGGGGTGTGGAGAGAGAGAGAGAGAGAGAGAGAGAGAGAGAGAGAGAGAGATCAGAGGGAATGCAGACAAATGCTCTTTGGCTCTCTCCTCAGGCATCCAGGCAAGGCTGCGCTGGCCATCACTCTGAGGGGCAGTCCAGCAGCTGTGAGACTCCTGGGGAGAGGTGGCGACCCTCCCTGTGGCCATGAGCAGGCCCTCCGATAACACCCTCCAGTGGGGTGAATGTAGATAGACACTTTTGGATTTCTGATCAAGCCAGAGAGGCCAAATCCCACAGCCCGGTTGCTTTGTCCATGCTAGGGGCTCACCCACCTGAATCCGCCCATTAGCCCACCATCCCCAGAGAAGGCAACGGGAGGCATAGAAGAGGCAGCCCTGCTTCCTGGCCTCTAGGTCAAGCTTGCTCCGTGGTCCTGTTCCCACTCAGTAAGGGGACAGCAGTGGGGTATGCAGTAGGGCCCGAGGCACTGGATTGCTGACCAGGTGAGCCCTGACACACCCCGAGTCCTACCAGGGAAGCGAGTCACCACTCTGAGTGCAGGGAGGGCCGACTCAGGGCCACCCAGGTGTTCAGCCTCGTGTCCCAGCTCTGCTCTGCTCAGTCCTTGAATGACCTTAAAGGGCAAGAGGGGTTCTTGTTCCTTTTTAGACGTGAAGTGATCAAACTGGGTAGCAAAAGTACAACATCTGGCCACACACCTGTAGGTGACTGATTCCATGGACCTTTGCTTGCTTAACTCAAGAGGAAGCTCCAGGTAGCAGGTAGAAGAAAGAGACCCTGAAGTCCAGTTATGCCACTCCCTAATTGTGTGATGTTGGACAATGTACCTAACTTCTCTCTGCTTTTATGTTCGCCATCTGAGAAATGGGTCCAGGTGAGGATGAAATGAATTAGCGTTACTAAAAAGCTATGGCATGTGACCTAGCACATAGTATAAAATTAATTAAGGAAACAAAATAGAGGAGCTGGGAATGGAGCTCAGAGGTAGCACACTTTGCCTTATACATGTGAGCCCCTGGGCTCGGTCCTTGTACTACCAAAAAGAAGAAACAAAATAGATGCAAAATAAAGTTCTTCCAACCCAATAGACAGAAGACCGGGAACAGAATGAGCTTCAGACTTCAGGGCAAGGTGTAGTCAGCATGGGTGAGCGAGATTTTCAGAAAACTCTATGTCTTCAATTTCAAGGCTAGGAGACAGAGGTTTGAGCTACCACAGCTGTGGTCAGGACTCACACCTGGCTCTGTGCCCAGAGGTCACTCTTCATGGGGCCTGGAGACTGTATGGGGTGCTGAGGTTCAAACCAGGGTCAGCTGTGTGCAAGGCAAGCACCTCTGTATAATCTTGCCCAGTAGAAGTGCTATTTGAATTTCATAAATCATTGCTTATCAACTCAATCAGATCATACACAGATGGTCATCTTTAAACAATGATGAGAGCGTGGGCCGAGCTCCATCCTGCCATCACCTGAGAAGGCAAGAGCTCCTCAGAGCAGGGCCGTCACCAGGCACACAGGCTCACAACACACAGGCCCCAGGTGGCTCTAAGTGAAGGGCCACAATGGCCTGGACTTAACAGAGGGACGGGTCACTTGGTGATCTCCCCTGGGCCCCCACCATGAGGAGACCCGACTATACTCAGCCCCTATATGCACTGTCATTTGTGTTATGGTTCCAACTGAATGTCAAGCTTTTTCCAGGATGTCTTCCTGCCCTTCTGCCCCTTTGGGCTGCCCTCAGCTCCACATTAGCCAGCTGGGGAAGAGTGAGCAGACCCAGGCCCCAGGTCTGAGTGAGCCCTAACCACAAGAATCACAGACCAATGCGAGTAAGAAAAACGTCTGGGCTAGGACCTGAACTCCTGGCCAGCAGCCACACCTCAGTGTGCCTCTCCTTCCCAGGTTGAGGAAGGGCCACCATGGGTGGACGCCAGACCCTTCCCCATGGGCTCCACACTGCACACTGAGCAGAGACACGGGGCCGAGCTCAACAGGAAGCTCAACCACTGGGCTTTGCGTCCATTGCAGAAAGCAGTTCAATAAAGGTAAAGGTAAAGGCCCTCCCGTTGATCGTCGATTTGCTCGAGCGGGCCAAGTAACGTCTCCATTGGAGACTTTGTTGTTACTGTGTCTGGCATATCGAATACTCTCGGTAGCTTGCCGGGCTCTCCGAGAGGGGCGGAGGAATTGAACTCGGGTCGGCCATGTTGTCTGCGTGCAAGGCAGACGCCCTACCCGCTGTGCTATCGCTCCAGCCCAAAGCAGTTCAATAGTTGGTTTTATGTTTCCAGAAAACACGGTTGGGGGTGGAGTTCTGGGGCAGAGCACCAGCCCTGCATACAGGAGGTTCTGGGTTCAACTCCCACCAGTGGGGGGAAAATAGAATTAAGAGATGCTGGAGTGATAGCACAGTGGGTAGAACACTTGCTTTGCACATGACCAACATGGGTTTTATCCATGGCATTCCCCTGGTCCCCAGAGCCAAGCCAGGAATGATTTCTGAAATTAGAGCCAGGGATGAGTCCTGAGCACCCCTGGGTGTGGCACAAATGAAAAAAAAAGGACAAAAATAGTGATTCCCATGCAGAGATTGGGGGAGAAATGGAGACCTTAGTGCTGGTATCACTTGGAGCTGCTAGCTTTAGTGAGTGTGTCTCAAACCAGCCAAGCTTGAGAAAGGGGATACCATGGCCCCCGGGCGCAGGATGTAAAGTCTCAGGAAACACCAACGTCATGGCTCTCCTGACCAACAGGAAGTGAGCAAGACAGACCACCTTTCCGGCCACCTGGCCAGCTGACCTTTACAATGGAATCTGCTGCTTCCATTAGGCAGAGGCTCTCGGAGATGCCTCTTTCCCGGCCCTGTAAGAAGTATGTCTCAGATGTTTTCGTTTTAGCAAATATCAAGATATCTTTTAATTCCATGCTAAAGAGGAGATGAACAGCTGTATTAGCAAGTCAGTCCCAAGGGTTTGGCATCTTTCTATAGAGCCTACTCCCTGTTTTGCTCCTCTCTAGGCCATAAGGTATGGAATTACCCAGTATCTGCTCTTCACAGTGGCCTCCAGTTTCATGCATTGGCAGCCCACTGCAGGATGCCCTACTTTCCTACAGCCCATAGCATTCCACGCCGTGTCTACACCCACACAGCTTCTGAGGCTCTGGCGGCTCGGGCCCTTGGGAGGTTCTCATAAGTTGTGCTGACTTACCAAGAGCTGTGATGGAGATGGGGGTGCTGGCGCGGCGCTCCCCCACCACCTGCCACTCGCCGTCCACGGCCCGCACCCACTCCGTCACGTGGCACTCGTACTGGCCCTCGTCCTCCTTCCTGCTGCCAAAGAGGCCCAGGCTGAAGGCGCCGGGCTGCACCTGCTCCAGCTGGATGCCTCCAAAGCGGCTGCGCTCCCAGTAGGCGGCGCCGTACTGCACGGAGCCCTCGCGGTCCAGCCAGAGGATGTTGCTGCGGCGGTTCTGCCTGTCCACAAGCTGCCAGATGACCGAGAAGTGGCCCTGGGGCCGGCCCGCCGTGCGGACACTGCAGGAGAAGTGCAGGTTCTCGCCCTCCAGGATGACGCTGGCGTTGCTGGCGACCTCCACGGAGATGCTGCTCTCTGGGAAGAGGGACAGAGTGCAGTGCTGGGTTCTGGTTCCCCCACACCTCCCCACCAGCCTAAGACAGGAGCACACACCTGACACCTTGGGTGAGTCTCTGACATTTGCTGCTGCCAACCTTGGCGTTCTGCACCGCTCACCAAGACTTTATCTTGGAGAGCCTTGGCACTCCTTTGGGGCATGCCTGGGATTGGGACAGTGAGGGTCTAGAAACTGAGTGTGAATCAGATGCTGAGACATATAACCTAAGGACATGATGCTCAGGGCATCAAACAATTTACCAGGCAACCTACAACCTTCTCTTGCACTTCACTTTGAAATTTTCTGGAATCAGAGTTACGATAAAGATCAATATCTATTCTTTTTTTTTTTAATGCTTTTTGGGCCACACCTGGCGATGCACAGGTGTTACTCCTGGCTCATGCACTCAGGAAATACTCCTGGTGGTGCTCAGGGGACCATATAGGATGCTGGGAATCAAACCCAGGTCAGCCGCATGCAAGGCAAATGCCCTACCTGCTGTGCTATGGCTCCGGCTCCAAGATCATATTCACTCTTTGCTGCCTCTATTTAGCCTTTGCTGCTCCCTGAGTTCTGTGAGCTCAACCAGGTTAGTTAAGCTCTCAATGCCTTCTCTTACAGGACAGAAGAGTGTTGTGTATGACACTTGCTTTTGTGAGGACCCAAAAGAAAGTGATACTGTGTGCATAAATCACCTCACATAAAGAAAATTTTCAAAAACGAATCACCATGATCATAATTAATTTTACTATCCCCACTAATTCCTCTGATTTCTATAAATGACAGAGGTATTCTAATCTATCTTAAAAACGAATATACTATTCTGCATGATCAACTAAATTAAGTGCACAAAGTCTCCCAAGTAATCATAACAAAACAAAGTACTAACTACTAATAACTAATTTGGCTCCTATTTCCTGGGCACCGCCCATGTGAAACACAACAAACCAAAAATCAATGAAATCAAATTCCAGATTAAGAGGCGTGGCTGATCACTGCGGAGAAGAGGCAGACATACCCAAACCCATGCACTGAATCAATCTTTCCTCCCTGTATTTTCCCCACAGGGAGAAAAAGGCAAAGATGAGCTCAGAGACCTTGCGTGTAGCTCTGTTGATGGTGAAGATGACTGCGAGACCCTGTCTGGAATGACTCCTTTTATTTTATGTATTTATTGTTTTGTGGGACAACACCCAGTGATACTCAGAGATCCCTCCTGGCAGTTCTCAGGTGACTACGGGATGCTAGGGATTGAACCTGGATCAATCATGTAAGGCAAGCAAGCACCTTACCTGCTATACTATCTCTCTGGCCCCATGTAATGACTCCTTTCAGTCCTGGTGACAGGGCAGGCCTAGGACTCTTCTTGGGAGAAAATTCACAGAGCTACAGTGGCTCCTGATCTGCAACTACCTATAACACAGGACCTGGAAGCAGGGAGACTGAGGCAGGCCAACCTGATGGAGGAGTCGTGATGAGCTTGAATCAGGTTGGCTCCTGGTTCAAGTGAGGACTCGAGCTCTGATTGCTCATGTACAAAATGGAGATATGGAGATATGATACCAACAACCCCAACTTCTCAGGGCCTGTACAATGAGGTGTTCACAGTATCATCACAGATAACACTACTCCTCTTTAAAGACTCTCCACCACTATTATCAATTCAAAAGGGAGGAATTCAAAAGGGATCCTTAGCACCAAGAGGAGGAAAGCCTCCCTGTCTTACGCAGAATAACAGCTCTCATTCATCCCTACTGTCACCCCAACAGGCTCTGTAAGGGTGCTTGCTGGGTGCTCTGTGCTGAGCAAGCCTGAAAAAATCTCCCAGTCAGAAGGTACCACCAGGAGAAGAAAAGCCAACCTAGCACCCCAGGCAGCAGCCCTACCATGCCTGTTCACACTGTGTGTTCCTAGGCCTGAGAAAAAGCAGCCGACAAATTCAACTTCTCTAGATTAAGTGAAAAACTAGGACAGAGCTGATAAGAATCTGAGTGCATGTTGACAAATAAAATTCCAAATCAGCAGGTGGATGACGCTGGCACAGGCTGAAGCACAGAGCAGTGGATCTGGAGTTAGAAGCAAACGTTTCTAACGCAATGCAAGCTCAACTGCAAAGGGCACCCGTGGTTCTACCACTTCTCTGTGGCGCTCTGGCTTTCCTATTCACTGGATGAATATAAAATTGGCCTCTACAGGGACCAGAGAGGGGTGGAGCAGAGCAGGAGATGAGATATGCAGAAGCATTTTCGACCGGCTCTCAGGAGGAAAAGCCCCATTAAATTCCAAGGTATAATCAGCATTACCAACGTGATCATTGTTGTTCTCGTAGACTTACCCAAGTGGCCTTGGGGCAGGATCTGGTGGTGCTGGGGGACTTTAACTACCCAGTTATCTGCTGGAAAAGCAATATAGCAGGCCACAGATCATCAAACAAGTTCTTGGAAGGGGGTTGGGGGGAATCTCTTAGTATAAAAAAATATAAGAAGAAAACAGTGTGGCTGCCCTTCCCTGGATCCTTACGAAACAGAGGATTAGTTGAGGATTTAATAGGAGAGAGTCCGTGGTTAAGGCAGGCACAGACTAACGGGAACACAGAGAGTGGACATTCAATTCTACCATTTCAATTCTACAAAGTCCAGCAAGCACCTACCCTATGCAAAGCATCATGCTAGGCATTGTAGAAATGGAAAAATTAAAAAACAATAAAGACCAAGAAACAAAAGCATTGCAAGACAATGAGGTGTGAGTGCTTTCAACTAAAATAATAGGCATGATAGAAAGTATTCCTGTGGATGAGAAAAGAAATAGCAAGAACCTTTGTTTTTATATTCTTCACACTTGAATATTAAAATTGTAAAGGTGTAAATTAAACAAATGTAAGGGGATTTATTACTGGGCTAAGAGAAAGAACAGGGGTAGCCGTGGAGGGAAGGTTAAAGGTTAGTTTGGAAACTTCACTATCTCACTTAAAACCTGGCACTGACAGCTTTAAATCTCTCTTTGCTAGAAATAGAACTGTAAAAGAGATGAGAGATTAGTGAGAACCTCCTGCTGTTGTGGATGACAAACCCAACATAGGCAAGCACAGGGATCCCCAGAGTCTGCTCCCCACCCCGGCTTACAAGGAAGCAGGGACCCCACCTAGCAGCCTCACCGTACCAAGCCTTTGCTTCAGGAGATCGGGAGCTGTTCAACCCATGGATGGTGAAAACCCCAGTTTCAACAGGAAAAAGACAATTAGGGAGATGCTAGCTTTCGGACCCACTTTCAATAATGTGCTCATTTGTTTGTTTGCTTTGCGGCCACTCCTGGCACTGCTCAGGGCTTACTCCTGGCTCTGTGTTCAGGGGTCACTCCTGCAAGTCTCCGGTGACCATCTGGGATGCCAGGGATCGAGCTGGGGCTGGCCATACGCACAGCCTGTGCCCGGCTGGCTGAACTATCTCTCCTGTCCCAACCAATAATGCACTTTATGGCTTTAAGCTCATCCCATAAAAGACCTGCCCACTGAAAAAGTACGTTTTCAAGATGGGCATTAACCCAATTCTGGGTGTCGCTCCCACACAGGTGCATAGCTGTTCCGAAGCCTGTGCTCCCCCTGCAAAGAGGGCAGCAGAGCCGGCCTGGGTGCCTCCTGCAGACACACTGTGAGCACTCGCCTCTCTGGGAGGATGTGGGAGGGTGCCTGCTCAGGCAGGTTGGAGAAGTAAGAGATGAACCGATCGGAACCCTAACCAGCTCTCTGAGGACCCCAGACCCCTCCTCCGCAGCCCTTGCCTCCCGCCTCAGGCTTCCCCGACTTCAGCAACCCAGCAGGAGGAGGAAGACAGCCCTGCACCACTTACTGATTGGCAGAACGACAATAGGGATGTTCTTGGGCCGCTTGCTCTCCTTGTCGATGAAGTCACCCGTGACTGTCTTCTCCCGCTCGGTCACTCGGCAGTTGTACTTCCCACTGTCCTCCTGGCGGAGGTGGTAGATCTTCAGCACAAAGACGCCATCACTTTCCTTGGCCACTTTCAGCTGGCCCCGCGCCTCCCGGTGGGCGAACTCATTGTTGAGCACTGGCACTGCGTTGGGCCCCATGCTGGCGATCAGCGAGCTGTTGAAGGCCCAGGAGACGGCAAAGTAGCGATCAGGGACATTCTGCGCCTCCAGGATGCACCTGAACTCGGCCGCCTCGCCGGCAGTGTACAGCCGCTTCTCGGTCTCCAGCCGCACCAGAAACTCCTTGTCTGCGAAGGCCAATTGTGAAATGTGCACATTATTGAGCATTCTTGGACATGCACCTTAAGTGCTTCAACACATTCCCCTCACCCATGCTCCTCTTTACTTTCTCCCCACTTTATTTAAACACCATGGTTCACAAAGTTGTCCATGACAGTTTGTTACAGGCATTCAATACTCCAACACCAAGGCCACTCTTATGTCCCTCTGCCACTGATTCTATTTTCCTAACCACCCCTCAAGCTTGATCCCATAGCAGACCCACAATAATTTATTTTGTACTGCTTCTTGGGCACAGTGGGTAAGGCGTTTGTCTTGCATGCAGCTGACCCAGGTTCGATTCCTCCATCCCTCTTAGAGAGCCCACCAAGCTACTGAGAGTATCCCACCCATACATCAGAGCCTGGCAAGCTCCCTGTGTGGTATTCGATATGCCAAAAACAGTAACAAGTCTCACAATGGACATGTTGTAGGTGCCCGCTAGAGCAAATCGATGAACAGCAGGAGGACAATGCTACAGTCCTACAATACTGCTTTTTACCACTAAATGGCTAAGAGAATGATCAAAAACTATTTCCGTAGGAGAAATTGTGAAAATCGTTATATCTCATCATGAGGACATTAAGTCCTGTCTGCCATGGCCTTCTTTACTGTGCTCACCCTGGGAAGGCACCACCATGCCTCTCTTGAGAGGAGGAGGGAACTCAGACCCAGCTGATGAGGCCACTGGACTCTACTGCATTACAGAGAGGACTCACAGTAGGCTGCCCCCAATAGGGACACGTCAGCCCAGTGAGTACTGGTGGGACTCTGCCAGTAACCTACTGCCATACCTTAGGTTAGAATCCCGGAGGTTAATAAGGAACATCTGACATTTCCAACATGTGTAAGTCAAAGATCCAAATGTCTACCGTTGAAACTCAGAAAACTCCATGTAAGCAGAAAGACCACAAATAGTTTCTGCAGATACCATTAAGACTTTTCCTACTAAGGCTTGTGAGACAGAACCATGCAGTGCTCTGAGTGCTGGCCCTAACCCTAACACAGACTCAAAATAAACCTATTGATACACAGTCTCCATTCCTGTGTGGTTACTGGAAATAAGACAGAGGCAAGACAACCTCCTAACAAAATTATACATGGGAAAAACAGTTAATGTCTTATATTCAATCTTTCCTCATCAGATCAACTCTTGAGAAGTATGGAGAAAGCATCTACTTCTGGTGAAAGCCAGAAACAACTTCTGAATGGTCTATGAGTCCAAGCAGCCTTCAAGGCATATGGGGGAGAGCACGGAAGGTCTCATGGCCACTAACAGCCTCCTGCAGCTACATCTTGGTGCCTGACGGCCATCAGTTACCTTCAAAGAGATGCCTGGATTCTTGCAGTTTCATTAGCTCCAATCTGCTTTGCCTTACCAACCTTGGCACTTCCAAGCAATTACCACTACCATCTCTGCCTCATAATTTTGTTTGTGTGGTTTTGGTTTGGGAAAAATACTGGCAGTCTTCAAGGCTTACTCCTGGCTCTGTGCTCAGGGATCACTCCTGACAGTGCTCAGAGGACCAGAGGCAGTGCTGGGAACCCAAGCTGGGTTACCTGCACACAAAGCAAGCACCCTACCCACCACAGTCTCTCTCCAGCCCAGCGAGCCCTGATTTCATCCCACTATCCCATGCCCTCTGAAAGTGCTTGCTGGAGAGCACCCGTTGAACACAAGGGCAGCCCTGCCTCTATCTCTTGCACCCAAGCGTGGCACAACACCCAACTTCCCTCAGGCTCTTTATCTCCTTCCCTCCAACACGTCTCTTGCCCCAAACATCCATTTTCTGCTCCCGTGTATTAGTACCTTCCTTTATTGCCCAAACTTCCCAACAAACAAGACTAACATCACCCGTGTGACAGCTGCTCAGCTTCCCTCTCGTGAAAGTCTACCCTGCACTGTCACACATGCACTCACAGGAGTTTGCCCACATTTCTGGCCAGCTATGGGCACTCTGGTCAACACATAGCAGTGATTTTGAGGCTTCCAAGAATGAATGCAGACAGGAGCCCTACACTGAGGGCCTTTTATGTTTCCTCCATGAGGCTGACTCAAACTGTGACCTTCTCTGAGAAGCCCGATTCTTCTTTCTTAGAACTCCCCCAGGCGTGGCTTGGAGAAGACTTCACACTCCCAGGCTGAAGTGCAAGATTTACAGTGCACCATCAAACTGCAAAACTATTTTGCTGACAGTTATTCCCCATCAAGCAAACCTCTAGGAACTGATTTATGGCTTTTCTAGTGCCCTCACTCCTCAGTTCACTGAAATGAGCTTCTGGTCCTTCTTCCATATTTTACTTGCCGTTTACTCAAACGTCACCCATGATCCTTCTGCCTCTTCCCCCACAACCAATGACTTCCCACACAGGCATCAACCATGGCCCCTGCATCCCCTGCACACACACAGCAACACACACACACACACACACACACACACACACACACACACACACTCTGAGCTCCATGGCATACTCTCTCCTTGTTTCTGCTCTTGCTTGTCAGAAGACTCTCCTCTCTCACCAGACCTGCTCCTCTGGCTGCCCCTCACTGCTGCTTCTCTCCCACCCTTTCTGTCTTCACAAGCCATCACCTCTCCCCAGCTTGGCCTCTAACTGAGCCCCAGGTCCCACGACACACCAGTCATCACACATACCAACCATCTCTAGAAGAGTCAGCTTGTGAGATCAAATCCTTAACTAAAATTTTTGGTGGGGAGGGGATACAAAAGTCCCTGGGCCAAAGAGACAGTACAGGGTAGGCACCTGCTTAGCACATGGTTGGCCTGGTTGGATCCCCAGCACCAGTACGGTCCCGTAAGCTCCACCAGAAAAGATCCCTGAGCACAGAGCTAGGAGTAAGCTCTGAAGCACCAACAGGTGAGACCCCGCCACAAGCTCCTACCCCCAAAAGCTACCCAGCGCTGCCACTAATGGGGAAGCAAAGACTTTGAGGTGTCGCCCCCTGGCATTTCTTTGCCCACCTTTCTTCCAGACCACAGTCCAAGGAACCACTTGGACCCTCTGTCTAGGGACTCCTGGGCAACTGGACTCCTCCTACCACCAGGTTTCCTGCCCCTTGGCTGCTTTCCAGGTTGCAGTCACCAACCCCTGTCCTGGCCCCAGGAGCTCGTTTCTGCACAGTCTCTCAACTCCAGATCTGACTGTGACCAATGTCCAGGCAGTCAACATGATTTTCCTGCTCAAACTCTTATCTGATTGTGTCACTCCCTGCTTCAAAACAGTTGCAAGATCAGCACCTTACCGATAGTGCTATCTTGTCAGCATAATCATGTCACATTAGGAGACAAAAACAAAAATCTGTTTATTATTCACGGTCATGGTCCTCCCCTTGTTCATCAATTTGCTCAAGCGGGCCTAGTAACGTATCCATCGGAGACTTTGTTGTTATTGTGTTTGGCATATCGAGTACGTCACAGGTAGCTTGCCAGGCTCTGCCGTGCGGGCGAGATACTCTCGGTAGCTTGCTGGGCTCTCCGAGAGGGGCAGAAGAATTGAACTCGGGTCGGCCATGTTGGCTGCGTGCAAGGCAAATGCCCTACTGCTGTGCTATCGCTCAAGCCCCTGTTTATTATTAATCAGAAAAATTTAATGTCCTTTCCAAATATTATTTTTATGTTTTATAACTCATGATTATATACAAATATATGGTTTCTAAATATACAAAATATATCTTGAAGGTTAAAAAAATCTCTATATTCTAGGATGATAGATAGTCCAGGGTAATGTCATAGCCTTGGTTGACCCTATTCAAATCGTCGCATCACATACAGTTCCCTGAGAACCTCCCAGTGAGGCCCCTAGCATAGAGCCAGCAGTAGCCCCTGAGCACTGGCAGATGTGGTTCCAATTCCCCACCCCCCCATTTCCCGCAAAAAGTCTCTATTCCCCATTCCAAGTATTGGTAGCAGTGATTTTTAAACTTTAAGTGAAGGGGAGAGGGTGGAGAAAGAGAACTTCCTTCTTCATATGTAAGAGGATGCACAACACAGAAGACGCCGGAAGCACTCTGAGGAGAGTGCAAGGCCTTCAAAAGCCTCCATCTCAAAGGATTCACCTTCTTTTATATTCACAAGCTCCAGGAAGAGCAGCCTGAAAACTCTTGATCCAGAGGTCAACTTCTGGACTAATACAGTACAAAGAGTTTCTCGCTGTCTTTATCCGGGACTCAACATCCCTCCTGCTTGATTCTCTCCATTTGCCAAACACATCACGTATTGTTGTAGCTTTGTGCCACTCCTCCTGCTACTCCTCAGGAATTAAGACCCATCAAAGTCACCAAACGGTTGGTTTTCTTAAATTCACCTTAACAGTTACCCCATCCAAGGAAAACTGATTATGGCAAGAACACACCACATTTACTGTGCTGTTAGAGCACTCTGTACACAACACAACTACAGCACCTAGAGTGCTCCACTCAGCCACGGATTCTACATTTGCAATCTCCCCGGTGTGGGGAACACATGTTACTCATCTTTGAGTTCCTAAAGCCTCTTGCCACATCTTCTGGTTTATACTTACTAAATGTTTATTGAAATGTAAAATGTGAGAAGTAAAACATTTACTGAAACTAAAGAAAGGGCACAAATTGTGGTGCAGTCACTGGTCAAAACAGACTGCCAGCAGAGTCCATCCACATTTTCTTTTGGTCTACTTTTCTCTCTGCTGGCTCAGCCTGCACACTCAATGAGCAAATCCAAAAAGTCCTAAGTGCAAATTGGTTACTATTAAAATAAAAAAGAAGATTAACAGATGCGACCTAATTTAAAAGCATTACAATTTGAATTTTGGCCTACACTTTTGAAGCTGATCTGAGAACCATCTAGGAAGGGAAATGAGTGATATGAAATAAAGCGCCTTGCAGGATGGCTTAGGACTGGGAAATCCAGCAGTTTTTAAATGCCCTTGACTCCACAGAGCAGATAAACTGCTATTTGCTGGGGAGCCCAGTTCTTTTAGTAACCCCCTGAATCCATTAGATGTGGAGAATTGCTTCTGCACTGCTAACTCTTGAGCTGTGTTTGATGAGACATCATCTGGCGAGATCACCTTGTGTGTGGTGAAACTCAGCACTCGGGGACAACCCCAGGAGCTGGCCTGGGCTTCCTGGGTGCACCTGAGGAACAAGAACTGTGAGGTTGGTCCCGAAGAACAAACCAAGAGGCAGCAGAGCTCCCAAAGACCAAGACCCCACGGAGCAGCCCAAGGGACAAGGACACTCGCAGGCACGGCCATAAGAGGGAGCCCCAGGCCTGGAGAGGCAGTACTGCAGTCGAGGCTCTTGCCTGGCATGCAGCTGACCCACGTTCAATCCCTGGAAACCCCCATTAGGTTCCCCAAGTTCTGGCAGGAGAGACATCTGAGCAAAGAGCCAGGAGACACTCTCTCTGAATACAGCTGGGTGTGGCCCCCAAACCAAAACCAGGCTGGCTGTGCTCCTCTTCAACACAAGGAAAGGCTCTTGGACCACCCGGCTTCATCTGCTAGCAAAACAGCCACTGTCCAGAGGCCTAGATCCAAATTCTTTCTCTTCTCTCCCCAAGGTAAACAACCAAATGATGCTGGACCAACTGAGGTCATTCAAAGACCACCCCCCCTCCAAGTACCTTTTGAGGCCACTAAAGAAAGCAGTGTGAAGGGGACCACAGAACTGACCAGTGGGTTGGACGTTGACCACGGTGCCCTCGGAACGCTTCTGCGTCATGGCGTACCACGAGCCATCAGGATCCTGGATCCACTCGGCAGCTCTGCAGTAGAACTCGCCCTGGTCGGAGGGCTGCAGGTGGAAGATGGTGAGGCGGAAGGTGGTACTCCCCAGCTTGTCCAGCCGCACCTCGCCCAGGCTCTGCCTCTGCGCATACTCGCTGCTGGACTGCAGGACGAAGTCCCGGGCCAGGGCGATGACCTCCACGGGCCTGTCGTTGCCCTTCTGCCGGAGCCAGGCCACTGACAGGTGGCTGTGCTGGACAGTCTCCGTGGCCACCTCACAGGTCAGCTCTAAAGGGTCCTGCTCTACCTTGTGCAGCGACTGGGGCACGGCAGTGGTCTGTAGAGTGTCGGGGATCACTGAAACACAGAGATGTTCCAAAGCAGTCACAAAACCACACTCTCAACGTCTGGGGCTGACCCCCTACCCCACCCCCCCGCCAGCCCCCTGCCCCGTGAGAAATACTGGGGAGCCACTGGCCACTCCCAATAGCACAAAATGGCAGGGGCTTCCTGTTTGGGTTTGGACTGCAATAGGTATGCACTTATACGGGCTGGTTCTGTATTTAAAGAACTCTTGGCTAAAAAAGGATGTGGTTTTGCATAATAAATGAGCTCCCTAAAAACACCAGGTTAAAAAAAGGACTCTCCTCTTAGGTCAAATCAGACTTGGTTACTCCTTTTATAGCAAAGCCTCAAGTACCGGCACTTCACTTTTCACTGATCGTCCACCAGAAATATTTATTGGAATTTTCAGAATTTTTATACTTAGACAACTTCATTTCCGCCCAACGCTCCACCACGACCACCCCTTCACTCCCCCAAATTATCTTTTGGGCACTAAGCACCCCCACTGATGGATGAAGGGGCCCCACCGTAATTCTCTGTGGTCTCCCCTGCCCCCACTGTGGGGTGGATTGGGACGTGGCTGCCTGAGATTCCAGCACTGGCCTCAGTGCTTGCGAGGGGGGGCTGGACGCAGGAAGGCCATTCGGGCTGACTGCCGTACCCTGTTTCTGTTGCAGGGATAGACCTGGTGGCGCTGACTCTGGCTCTGTGCTCAAGGATCACTACTGGCAATGCTCTGGAGACTGGGCCATCATGGGGACACGACCGAGGCTTCACAGACACCTGTGTTACAGCGTCAGTTGCAGCAAGGCAAGTGCCTTTCCCCCTCTTCTATCTCTCTGGCCTTGATTTCCTGTTTCGAGCCTCACCTTGAGGACTTGGGCAGTGTAACCGAACAGCTTGGGTAGGCCTGACCCTTTGCAGTGGCCATCACTGGGGCCCAAAGCTGTCCACACTGGAGTCTCCCCAATGCTCCCTGGAGCTTCCTGCAGCCTGCAGATGGCCAGGGAAGAAAACTGGGGTCCACTTCCTTACTCATGGGGCCAAAGGTCCTGGCAAGGGAGTCCATGGCTGGGCAAGGACAGGCAGCTCATCCACCTCCGCACTAAGCAAACAGGTGCCTGCGCCAGCACAAAGGTCCCCACCCGGAACTCCCCGTCTGGCTGCTATCAGAGCACACACCTTCCTCATTTCTCCTGATAATCGGCTACACATTTGTTGCCTTGTCTTTTCATATCCCTTTCCCCGCATGTGCTCTGAACCCTCTTTACCATCTGCAACCCGTCTTTTCAGCCTCAACCTTCTATCGGCTGCAAATCAAGACCAAAAAAAAAAATTGGCCCACTCATGCCACCTGTTGGCCTCTAAACTATCTGGGGAGCTTTGCATAAATCAGATAAAGCTGCACTTGGAGCAGGTGAGTTCAAGTCAGAGGGTGGCAGAAGGCCCAGAAATGGGGTGAATGTCTTTAGGCAAAAAAGGAAGCCCAGAGAGTCATATCCTTCTCTTTCTGCCCTCTGAGAACTCGTATTCCCAGAGGTGAGCGACCTGAGCCCACATGCCTACCCCGACCAGCCCCTGAGGGTAAGAGAAACAGCTGCAGTCAGAACAGGGCAGGGGAGGAGGAACTCCTTACCCACGAGGTTTGTTTTGGCACTGTAACTCCCAAAGTACTGGTCATCAGTGCTGGGCGTGTGACACTCGTACTCGCCGGCGTCCCGGGCCTGGAGGTCAGTGATGTGCAGCAGCACCGCGTTGCCCTGGGTGCGCTCCACGTAGATCTTGCCCCCACGGACGCGCTGTGTGTAGATGGCATAGGGGAAGGAGGAGTCCACGGTGCTGATGATCTGCACCTCACGCTCGGGGGCCGACGGCAGGTAGATGGACCACTGGAAATTCTGCTCAGAAGGGCCCTGGAAGCCGCTCACATTGCACCAGATGGTGACATGGGAGCCCTCGGTGCGAAACAAAGGTCCCTCCTGTACGGCCACCTGCCGCTGAGCCGACACGACACCTGGGGAGGACACACACAACACATATGCAGCACTTAGTTCTCAGGTCAAATTGCAAGGTGGGCAGATCCAGGCCAGGCTCCCATTTCCGCACTGGCACACTGACCAGAAGGCTTGCTGGCCTTCCGTGAGGGAGGCACTCTGTGATTTATCAGTATTAATTAAAACTCTCGGAGGCCCAGCACTGGATTCATTTGCATAGATGGGGATTTGATGGTGCAAAGAAGCGATTCTGTTTCTTTGTCAACACCACCCCTTGGGAATCTCACGGAGTCTCTCTGCCACTTAGGAGGCAGTGTTCTGTCTAATAATAGTGTTGTTTATCAAGGTTTTCATAAAATGAGCAGGAGAAGCTAAGCTTCTTGGTGCAAAAGCTGATGAAAACAAATAAAAGTCTTGCAATCTGGCTAACAGGGAAGGCTTCTTCCAGGGTTCCAGGCTGGCAAGCGGGAGGTGGGGAGTGGTGAGGCCAGGAGCCCTGTCTTGGCACTGTCCCCTGTTTGGAAATGCAACTGCTGCCGGGAGCTTTCCTTCCCTCTGCCTAACATAAAGGAGAGCCGGGAACTCCTGCGGGCAGCAGGGCCCCTGCTGATTTCGGCTGAGTACATAGGCCTTGCACCCAGAGGCCCACATGCTGGTAACAGGAGAGAGACCGTGTAGATAAGGAAGTCACCTGTCTGCATGCTCACAGCTCCAAGTTGCCCACTAGCCCTGACTCCTGGCCAGGACACGGTTCTCTCCTGTCTGCCTACTGTGTGTTGCTTCTGTTTCTCTCTCTCTATTGTCTCTCTGCTTTTTTTTGTGGGGGGGGGATGAGGTGGGGGGAAGGGACACCCAGTAACGCTCAGGGGTTAACTCTGGCTCTCTGCGCTGAGGAATTTCTCCTGGTGATGCTCTGGGATCAAATATGGGATGCCGAATATGGAACGCTGAGGATCAAACCTGGGTTGGCTGCCTGTACAAAAGGCTCTATCAGCTGTACTATCTCTCCAGTCCCTCTCTCTTTGCCTTTTGGTGCTACACTGTCCCAGTGTTCAGGGGTTACTCCAAGCTCTCTGCTGTGGGAAGGAGTCACTCCTGATGCTGCTGAGGAAGACAAGGCAGGGATAGGGGTGAAATCTGGGGCTCCTCAGAACCCTCTCCAGCTGTTTCTTAACCGCCATCTCTCCTTGCAGAGCAGGAATGGGATGGCACACATGGTAAAATGGGGGTTCCAACATGGCACAACACATACTGACATCAGTTTCCTCTATTGTACCTGAGACCCGAGCCCATAGTCCCCTGAAGCAGCCACCCCTGGCCACAGGATGGGACAGCAGGATCATTCTGGTGGCCATGGCCACACTGGTCCCTCCTGGCCCTGAAAGGGTTCTCAAGGCTTTGCAGTGGCTTGAGTCGCCCACACCTGTGCTGCCACTGAACTGCCCTGAGTCTCAGCACACATGTGCAATGAGTTGTGCCCCCAATGCTACAAGAAAGTCATAAGACAAGGTCAGCAAGCTGACCCTCCCTGAGGACAGCAGCCAAGACTCCCCCCAACTGGAGTATTCTAAAGCCCTGGACCCACAGAGAACCGGGTTTGTCCCTGGATCACTCAGGCACATCCCAAAGTGGCTTCCAGACAGTGGGAGAATCTACGGGCACCGACACCAGCACAGCAGCAGATCCGGGAACGTGCCTCCCTCGGCAACAGGAGCTGAGCTCTGGGTGTAAGCCCACCTGAAGCAGTGCTGGCTGGAGCACTGCTGACGCTCCAGTACCAGTGTGGCTGCAGCTCTGGGCAGACTCAAAGTGTCTGCGCCTCAGGCTGGTGGTATCTTTAAAACACTCTAGGAAAGACTGATGGATTGCAAACTCCTCATGCAAAACCTTTCTCTCTAGCAAAGTCTTTTATTGCAGCCCTCTAAGCAGTACTAAGGAGATATGCTGGGTCCCCAATTCAACGCAAGGGCCCGAGAATGCAGTGTGGCTCATGCCACCCCAGTGGTGCTGGAGGATTCCAGGACCACACCTGGTGGTGCTTGGGGGACTTTCAGGGCTGCACCTGACGGAACTAAGGAAATCATGAAGTACCAGAGATCAAACCTATGCCAGCAGCATGTGAGGCAGAGCCTAGATTCCTCTACTATTGCTCTGGCTCCAAAATACTACGTGGAACCCTGCCATGGCTTTAGCAGAGGCAGTGGGGAAACTGACCAAATGGGATGAGCACAAATCCACAGAGCCATGTGGTATGTGAGTGGACATGGCACTGTCGAGTGGACAGCATGGGGCTGTGCTGAGAATCAAGGCAAAGACAACATCTCAGGTATTTCCTGTGTGTTTCAACATGACTTGCCAGTTTCCCTCTTGTCTGGGACAGTGTGAATTGAATCCAGGATGGGAGGCAGCTCAGCAGCAGGGGATGAGCCCTGAAGGCAGGAGACCTGGGTTCAGTCCTCAGCACTGCCCTTGAGGGGGCTCGGTCTGGAGAGAGCAGTGGTCGGGCTCTTGCTCTGTACTGGCTGACCTGAGTCCACACCACATTGGGCCCCACGGCCTGCCAGGAGTGACCCCTCAGCACAGAGCCAGGAGTAAGCCCTGGGTATAGCCAGGTGTGCCCCCAAAGCAAACAAAAAAACTAGCAGGACTGTACTCTCTACTGCACCTCAGGAACTGGGATAATACCTGGAACTTAGACTTTTTAAAAATCATGATATATTTTTAAAAATAATAGTGCAGGGTAATAACTGGGGTTTGGGTGTTTTGTTTATTTATGAGGAAGGAGAGCGCCCAGGGCCTCATGCACGCATGATGAGTGCCACGGAACTACCACTCTGGGCCGAGCCTTGGCACTGTGGTGTCTCAGCTGTAGGGAAGAACATTCCCCATTAAAGGCTTTCACTAAGCTCCTCCCTTTTGCAAAGGCTCGCCATTGATTTGCGGTAAGAAGTTTCTTTCTCTGCTAGTGAATGGGCAGAAGGAGGCAGCTGAGCCCATCAGATAAGCTATTGTAATGCAATAATGAGCCTACCCAGAGTGCCTTCTATTTACAGACCTTACAAAAGCACTGGCCCATTGGATCGTTCACCTCACCTGTTCACCTCACCTCCAGAGTGGTAAACAGTGTTAAGTGGCCTGAATGAGCCAGGGCATCAGGGTCAAAACAACTTGTCCAGGCAGGAAGCAGGTAATAAACAGCCTTAACAAATAAACAAATATGGGACTGGACTTGAACCACATACACTGGGCTGCACCTGCTTAATCAGTAGCTTCTTGCTTTCCTGCCCATCCCACTAAGGAACTTTGGCCCCTGAAGATGATGCTGATTTTACAAAATAGACCTTAACACAGAAATAAAAATGAACTTTTTCTTCTCAGGACCTGTGTTCACCCTGCACTCCCCTGCACTTCCTTCTGTTGCTCAGGAGCTGCTATTGGTGTCTCTGGGATGCTGACGCCTCTGACTGGCCCCTGGCTTCCACCCAAGCACCCCGCACTCCACAATCTCTTCCAGCTCCTCTCAAAACTCCTCTTCAGCAGTCACTGCCTTTATCTTAAATCACCTTTTATGGGTCGGGGAAGAGGGTGTAATGAGCCACATGTGGTGATACTGGGGTATACTGGATCTGCACATAGGAGTCACTCCTGGTGGTGTTTGGGGAATCATGTGGGATGCTGGAGATTGAACCTGGGTCCACATGTGCAAGGCACTTGCCTTACCCTATTGTGCTAGTTCTCCCACCCTTTAAATAACCTTTTGTAAAAAATTATTTATTATTAAATTTAAAAAATTTTATCACTGAGATAGACCAAATAATAATATAAAGGTAAAGGCCCTCCCGTTGATCGTCGATTTGCTCGAGCGGGCCCAGTAACGTCTCCATTGGAGACTTTGTTGTTACTGTGTCTGGCATATCGAATACTCTCGGTAGCTTGCCGGGCTCTCCGAGAGGGGCGGAGGAATCGAACTCAGGTCGGCCATGTTGGCCGCGTGTAAGGCAAACGCCCTACCCGCTGTGCTATTGCTCCAAAATAATAATATATAGATAATAATATATAACATATATTATATAATATATTATATATCAATTATATATAATATATATAATAACAAAGCTGTTCATGATTAAGTTTCAGTCATACAGTGTTCCAACACCCATCCCTCCACCAGTGCACATTAAATAACCTTATAAAAAATAAAGGGCTGGAGTGATAGCATAACGGGTAGGGTGTTTGCCTTGCATGCAGCCGACCCGGGTTTGATTCCTCCGTCCCCCTTAGAGAGCCCACCAAGCTACCGAGAGTATCCTGCCCCCATGGCAAGCTACCCATGATGTATTCGATATGCCAAAGACAGTAACAACAAGTCTCACAATGGAGACACTACTGGTGCCCGCTTGAGCAAATCAATGAACAATGGGAGGACAGTGCTACAATGCCATAAAAAATAAAAACTTTAGACATTCCTGTACTCTTTTTATTACTTTGCAAAAGCAAATACCAGTTCTATGCTCTAAAAACATCAAGTAATATGTGTAACTGTATAAAAAAAAAAGGCAGAAAGAGAAGAAATGGGAAAACAAGGAGAAAACAAGACTGATAGAAAAGAGTACTGAGCGTAGAGAGGTACAAATTGGGCTGGCGGGTATGAAGAGGGTGTGACTTGCATATGTGAGGTACTGGGTTTGATCCCAGCATCACTCTACATCACCAAGTATGATCCTCAGCACTGCAACAAGTATGAGGATCCCCCGGCACCACCACAAAAATATGGGAGACAGTCATCTAAGCAAATCGATATCACCCTGAATGTCAATAGTCACAGTGTATCATTGAAGAGACATTGTGAGAGTGAATCAAAACGCACAACCCAACGACTTCCTGTTTACAGAAAACCCATTTTAAATATAGAGAAACACACAGAATAAAAGTAAATGGACAAAGAAAAATATACTGTGCTAACACTAAAAGAAAACAGAACTAGTATATTAACTTTGGAGTAGATGTCCAAATATAGAAA